AAGTGTTCCACATGATCCCTCTCTTTTTCTCTCTCACCCTCACCTCAGCATGTGAGAACTGATGCTTCTCTCTTCCCCCAACTACCCCCCCTACACATCCTTCTTTCTGCTCAGGGCCTGGGGGTAGGTCATCTGCTGTTTCTGAGGCCTCAGCTCTGGGACTTTTCCTGCCCACTGCTGCTGCCACTGGGCAGTGGGGGTGTCAAGGCTGATTCCCCACTCTGACACTTTGAGTGCAGAAGGTGGGGGCCTGCAAGTATTTTAAAAATTAATACTTGCCACTCCAGGTTTGTATTAAACTTCCAAGGTTACAGCTTCTCTCTGATCTTGGCTTGGTAAACTCTGCCACCACCCAAATGCAAAACCCCTTTTGGAACCTAAGAAGATACACTTGGGAATTCCTTCCTGTGGGGTACCTTCAATCCCTTTCACACACATCCTCTGGGGAAGAGCCGAGAAAGAAAACAAAGGAAATTAGCTGTTGCCACCAGCTAATTAAACAACATATGCACAAACCTCTTAGGACCCAAAAATCCAATCCTGTCCTTAAAAAAAGGAAAATTTTATTAAAAACAAAAAAGAAAGAAAATACATCTGAAATGTAGGCTTTTGTTAAATTTTAAAAAGAGCAATTCCAAAAATTAAGCACCTAAAATAGCTTTCTTGGGCGTTCATCTTAAAGATTACAAGCAATCAAAAGCATCTGTGGATAGCACAGAAGAGTTCATTAGCCATAACAAATAAACAGAAATAATCCTAATCGCGTCTTTCTAAACATTCCTGATCTACTTATACATTTGGGGGTTCCAAATAAGTAATTCTACACATGAGCTGATGATTTATGGTCATACCTGACTTAAAGCTTCTCATAGCATAACTGCTCCCTGTTCCTCTCTTTCCCGGAGGGGGAAAAAAACAAAGAAAAAGTAGAAGTTTTTTCCTCATTTAAAAAAGTTCTACGCCTTCTCATTGGCTCTTTTAGTCAAAGGCCACTCCCTTTTCTTTACCTGGGGGACTTCGTTAAGCCTTTACAGGTAAATCAAGCAGTGAACAACCATCAAGATGGACTTTATAGCTAACTGGCTGGCTGGGTGTTCATAAAAGGGAGTTACCCCCTCCCCTACATTTATCACAGAGGGTGATTTTGAGACCGGCTGAATGGCTCCCATTAGGGCAGGATGACTGGATCCTGTATGGCTGTGGTGGAGTGTGAGGGGTGATGATACAGTTTGCTGCCTATGTGGGGTAACCATTGTGAGCTCTCTATTTCTCACCCTTACTCTAATTAGGGGATCTTTGTTGAACCTGGGGGATGGGCTGATTGCTAGTTTTGGGTTCTGGAAGGTATTTTTTCCATATGATAAAGTCAGCAAACTGCTGTGTGGATTTTTCACCTTCCATACGTCATGCTGGAAGTCCAGTTTAAGGAAGTTAATTAGGATTGTCACAAATTTGGCAGGTTCCAACGAGGTTGCGGGATTAGAAAGGATCTAACTAAGGTCTCTGTAACTCAGTGGGCTACGTGTACATTGTTTCTGAACACAGCATGGCAGAGTGAGGGGATTTGCCTCTATGTCTGTGTGGCTTGTGGCACCTTCTACTTTTCTCTCCTACCACTGATGCAGAGGAGGGAAATGGCCTGCTTGGTTGTGTGGAGTGGTTTCTCCATAATAATAGATAAAAGTTTGAAATAAAGTTGTATCCTTTTCATTTAGCTATATGGTGGTATCTGTGTGTCATGTTTTTCCACATGGACATTAATTCAATTGAAGTCACATGATTATTAGGATATCTCCATGATATTCAGAGGCACAATGGGTTCTTGTTACAACATTGTACCATACCTGGAATACTCAGCAGCAATCAGGTTGTAAATGATTTCTTGGTTGCAGTGCATCACTTACATATATGGAAATAATACTTTCCATCTTCAGGATAGATAATGGAATATCTGAATGTTATGGGATGCATTATACTCCTTTTCCTTTCTTCTCTTTTTTTGTCTTGTCCTACCACAGATGGGTAAACTGTACCTTGGAACAATGAATTAACAATTCTGAAAACATCTCTATCAGAAGATGCTGTTTCTGAAATGTCTGATTCAGTACTGTGGATTTTCGAATGTCAGGATGAATATTTCATAAAACCCTGTTGCTGGCAACATGGTTACATTGGGGAAAAGACGAATTCAGCACAATGTTAAACAGTTTTCTTTGTTGCTTGTGAATCTTGCATCACTGTTCAAGAAAATGGAGCACACTGAGCAGAGTCGATGGTATTGAGGTGCTCAGAACTTTGCATGGTTAATTTTAATTTCTGCTCTGTTAATATGTATTTATCAATAAAGAAGAAAAAGTATGGACATACAATTAGTACCAATCTACATGGTTTCAGGGGAAAATAGATCTGGGCAATTAACTTAATATTGTCATTTGACAATACAATACAATATAGTACAAGTCTGGTTGTCTACATAGGAAAGTAAATATTGGATAAACTAAGGCCTGGTCTTCACTAAGCCCCCACTTCGGACTAAGGTACGCAAATTCAGCTACGTTATTTAATAAAGTAGCTGAATTCGAAGTACCTTAGTCCGAACTTACCGCGGGTCCAGACGCGGCAGGCAGGCTCCCCCGTCGATGCTGCATACTCCTCTCGCTGAGCTGGAGTACCGGCGTCGACGGCAAGCACTTCCGGGATCGATTTATCGCGTCTTAACCAGACGCGATAAATCGATCCCAGAACATCGATTGCCTGCCGCCGGACCCTCCGGTAAGTGAAGACGTACCCTAAGCTCTGAATTTAAACCAATATAGTTATACTGGTATAACTACCCCTTTTGGACAATCCTTTTTTCTATTTAGCTTATGTCAGTTTGGAAGGGGTTTAAGCTAAAGTGTAAAAAGGCTCTCTTATTCAGGAACTAGGGGGTCCACACAGGGAGTTATACCAGTATATCTCTATTGGTTTAATTAATATCAGCCTAACTATACTGGTATAATATGTAAAACTTTCCTGTGTGGACAAGCCCTTTAACAGATGCTTAGCTCATGGTCTGTGTGATTCTCCAGAAGGAGAAATTGGTCACAGCCTTGCTGCAGACAGCAGTCAGCTAATGAAAAAGTTTACAGAGACAATTGGACCTACCATTTGATTAGTAGCAGGCAGCAGGTTTAAAAGAAACACAAGGAAGTACTTCTTCACACAACACATACTCAGCCTGTGAAACTTGTTGTCATGGGATGTTGTGAAGGCCAAAAGCATAACTGGGTTCAAAAAAGAATTAGGTAAGTTCATGAAGTATAGGTCATCAATGGCTATTATCCAAGATGGTCATGGATGCAGTACTATGCTCCAGGCATCCCTTAACCTGCAACTACCAGAAGCTGGAACTGTACGAAAAGGGATGGATCACTCAAAATTGCCATGTTCTGCTCATTCCTTCTGAAGTGTCTGGCACTGGCCACTGTCGGAAGACAGGATACTGGGCTAGATGGATCACTGGTCTGACCCATTAGGGCCATTCTGAAGTTCTTATGCCTGCCAGACAGAAGAACAACTATGTGTCTATGTGTCTTTCGAACAAAAATGCCTTATTTGTAAAGCAGCCACTGTTGAATAGCTTGCACTTTCTGATACAGGTACAGAGCTCGCTTTAAGGATAAATTTCCTCTACGGTAAATTATAAATGCACGTTTTCTGAACAATTTGATACCAGAGGCAGCTACTGTTAATGTATTTTCACGAAGCAATTATCAATACTTAGTGCAGAGTATTATCTAATATTCCTTTGTTTACTCATAGCTTAAATGTGATGATCTCTGCCCTAATCAGCTCCCTAGGAGTATCCTCTCCTTAGGAAGTGAGATCTTCTCTTATACCAGTCAGCTCAATATTTCTCTTTCCTGAACACAGAAAAACACAGTAACAGCTGTTTTCCAGTATGTATCAAGCTGATTTTCTAATGTGAACTTAAACTTATGACTAAGAACCCTGGTCAACAGAAGATTAAAACTAGGAAGTCCTATACTTTCTCCCTAATGAAAGCCACCTATCCATTTCCAATCTCCATAATACCCATAATTACATGCAAATTGTGCAATTTTCAACTGTTTGTAGAATCTGTTCCTATAATTAAATGCACCACAACAATGTTTTTAAGAACTCACAGACATCACTATGAATCATATGCATCCTGCAGAGCCCCATCCGCACAAACAGAACTCATAGAACAACAATCTTGCAGCACACATTTTGGTTTGATACAATGGATTAGGAGTGAATAATTTAAGGAATCACAAGAAAGACCTGGTTGATTAATTTTTAAAACAAAGAAAAATGATAACACAGGCCTTTATCAAATGCCGGTTTTCTAGGAGAGGTGGCATTTAATGATTGGGAAAAAGTAACAGGCTGGCACTGGTCCAGGCAGTGAGCATTCCCACTTAAAACCCCTACAATTAAATTATTTAATGAGAATCATGTTAAACACAAAGTAGTTCATGCCATAAAATTAAGAAAGAATCTTCACTTTCCAATTTAATGGGGGGAGGACAATTTAATCCAATTACTTTTTTTTAAAGTTTTTCCAGGGAAAAGTACATTTCTTCACAATCAACTTTTGATGCATTTCCCTAATTAATGCAATTTGATAAAATGAAACAAATTCACGATGTCATTAGTTGAGTTGTGCTTAATGAAGTTGGGTTGTATGAAACATTAACTGCAATACAAAATCTATTTCTTTGGCCTGGGAAATATGCATTTATCATTTCAGTACATTTACTCTGGAAGTTCCAATCATGAAGCCTTATCACCATAATCATCATGTCTTGATAAATCAACATAAATTAACATTTTGATCAATGCCATCATTAAGCGCAGGCTGTGAAGAATCTATTTCCTAGTAGCATGGGACAAGTTAAATAGGCTCCTTGACAGCCTAAATGATAACTATGTCTGATGGACAACTGTCAAATTTTAAATGGAAATAACTGTACCTGTGTTATCAACTTTGTTCAGCTCCACTCTTCCCCGGATGATGTATAATGTTGCCTCATAGATCAATATGTGGAAATGGTTTCAGCAAACAAGGCTTCTATATGCAGAATAAAACATATATAAACATCAGTAAATAAAGAAGTAATTTCACAAGTTTAATTTGAGAGAATTAAGATACTAGACTGAATTATTTTCATATAGTCTAATATATAGGGGCGGATATTGAAATGGAAATCTGGCATTGCTATCACTGTTTATCCATCTATATATTTTGGATTTCAAAGAGGAATCAAAATGTGTAAAACATTCAAAAACGGGGCCTGATCCTGCGACACTTGCTCATGTGAGCAGTCCTTGTTCATACCAGGTTAGTGGAACTATATATGTGAACAAAGATTACTTGTGTGAGCAAGGTCTTTGGTATCTACAGCCTGATACAAAATTAGAGTCAATCAGAGCCTTTCCACTGATTTCAATAGGATTTGGATCACACCTCTATCTAATGTTGTAAAGGCCAAGACTATAACAGGGTTCAAAAAAGAACTAGATAAATTTATGGAGGATAGATCCATCAATCCTATTAGCCAAAAGCTATTAGCCAGGATGGGCAGGGATGGTGTCCCTAGCCTCTGTTTGCCAGAAGCTGGGAATGGGCTTCAGGGGATGGATCACTTGATAATTACTCGTTCTGTTCATTTCCTCTGGGGCAACTGACGTTGGCCACTGTCAGAAGATAGGATACATGGACCTTTGGTCTGACCCAGTATGGCCATTCTTATGTACACATCCAAACATATATCTTATCACATTCCTTTGCCCCTCCATTTTGCCAATGACACTAGCCTCAATGCTTCCTTCATTACTCCCACTCTTGTCTTCATGTTTTCTTTCATGCTGTTTCCTCTTCACTGACCAACCTCCCAACACCTGATTCCCAATGTACCACACTGCCCTCATTAAAATCCCTGAAAAATACTGACTACTGTGTCAGAGATCCAGTTGAGCATCACCTTTTGGCCACTCAGACTGCTCTGAGGGGTTCCAGATTCTGAATTCCTGGCTGTTTTAAGCCTCTACAGTCTGAATGGAGTCCAGGAACTGCCCCCCATCTAGAGGTTCCTAGGCACATTCTGGAGTGCATAATCTCTGTTTAGTACCCTGCCGTGAGAGTTCTGACCATGCAGACCACTGCTCGGCTCATGGAACTAGTGCTAAGCCCTCAGACTCTTTTCCGTAAAACAGTTCAATTGCACTGTCTCCAAGAACACAAGCTAGCTGCGTGTTCTTTCATGTGCTACATCTACCTCTTCAAGGGGCATGTGGTAGATGTAACACACGAAACACTCAGACACTTAGCACAGGATTCTAAAACCACTGATCTTTACTTAATTATTTGAGAAATACACAGAGTATAGATCATGTAGAAAATAGGGCTGTCAAATGATTTAAAAAATAATTTCAATTAATCTCAGTTTTAATTGCACTGTTAATAATATTTATTTAAATATTTTTGAGGTCTTCTACATTTTCAAATATACTGATTTCAATTACAGCACAGAATACAAAGTATACAGTGCTCACTTTATATAATAATTTTTATTACAAATATTTTCACTATAAAATGATAAACAAAATAAATAGTACAGTAAAACCCCACTATAACGTGATGATTGGGGTCCAAAAAATTCGATCGCGATAAATGCAGGGTCGCGGTATAGCAGGGTTACGAAAAGTTTACCATTTAAAGCCGGTCAGTGTCAAGCCGGTCAATTTCTCTTGGGCAGAGATCAGGGGAGATGTGTAAGGGGCAGAGGAAGAGTGAGGAGCAGCTGGGGAGGAGAATGGCTCTTCCCACCAAAAGGAGAAGCAGGGGGAAGAGGCAGTGGGGAAGGCACGTTCCTTTTTTGTTTTTTTTTGTTTTTCTTTGGCAGCGCTCCGGCCGGGGGGGGGGGGGTTTGTTTTGTTTGTTTGTTTGTGCTTTGGCGGCGCTCCGGCCGTTTTTTTTGTTTGTTTGTTTGTTTTGTGCTTTGGCAGTGCTCCGGACGGTTTTGTTTTTTGTTTTTTGTGTTTTTTTGTGCTTCGGCAGCACTCCGGCCTTTTATTTATTTATTTATTTGTTCTTCAGCGGTGCTCCGGCCGCTTTTGTGTTTATTTGTTTTGTGCTTTGGCGGTTTTTGTTTGTTTGTTTGTTTGTTTTGTGCTTCGGCGGCGCTCCGGACGCTTTTTTTTGTGTGTGTATGTGTGTGCTTCAGCGGCGCTCCAGCTGCTTTTTTGTTTGTTTGTTTGTGTGTGGGTTTGCAGCGAGCAGAGGAGATGTGAAAGGGGCAGAGGAAGAGTGAGGAGCAGCTGGGGAGGAGAATGGCTCTTCCTGCCAAAAGGAGAAGAAGGGGGAAGGGGGAAGAGGCAGTGGGGAAGGCACATTCCTTTTTTTTTTTTTTTTGCGCGCGCGCTTGGGGCGGCGGGAGCCACCTTATGATCACGCTATATCCGAATTCGCATTATCGCAGTGCGCGTTATAGCGGGGTTTCCCTGAATTTTTTTCAATTCACCTCATATAAGTACTTTAGTGCAATCTCTTTATTGTAAAAGTGAAACTTACAAATGTAGAATGATTATTTTTTACATAACTGCGCTCAAAAACAAAACTATATAAAACTTTAGAGCCTACGTGTCCACTCAGTCCTACTTCTTGTTGGGCCAATCGCTCAGACAAACAAGTTTGTTTACATTTACGGGAGATAATGCTTCTTGTTTATAATGTCACCTGAAAATGAGAACACGCATTTGTATGGCACTATTGTAGCCGGCACTGCAAGGTATTTATGTGCCAGATATGCTAAACATTCATATGCTTTGACCACCATTCCAGAGGACATGCTTCCATGCTGATAATGCTCATTAAAAAAATTATGCGTTAATTAAATTTGTGACTGAACTCCTTAGGGGGGAATTGTATGTCTCCTGCTCCATTCAACGTAGTACTCTCCATGGTCCTCTGCTGGCTCCTTTTCCCCTGGCAGCAAGACTCCTTCAGAACCATGCATCAATTTATTGACGCTACCCTGGACAGCACATTAGGGAATCCAGGGAAGCAAACTAGAAAAATATGGTTTAGATGAAATTACTATAAAGTGAGTGCACAACTGGTTGAAAGACTGTACTCAAAGAGCAATTATCAGTGGTTCGCTGTCAAATAAGACAGAAAATATAATATTGCCTCTATATAAATCCATGGTACACACACATCTTGAATAATGTGTGCAGATGTGGTCACCCCATCTCAAAAAAGATATATTGGAATTGGAAAAGTTTCAGAAAAGGGCTACAAAAATGATTAAGGTTATGGAACAGCTTCCATATGAGGAGAGATTAATAAGACTGGGACTTTTCAGCTTGGAAAAGAGATGACTAAGGGGGGATATGATAGAGGTCTATAAAATCATGACTTGTGTGGAGAAAGTAAATAAGGAAGTGTTATTTACTCCTTCTCATAACACAAAAACTAGGGAGTCACCAAGTGAAATTAATAGGCAGCAGGTTTAGAACAAACAAAAGGGAGTCTGCTGTAAAATCCTACCTTCACGCCTCAAAGTAGCAGTGACCCTGGCTTGTCTGACAGTGAGGATAGTGGAATGTATTCTTCAGTAGGTTCAACCATGCTATTAAGGTATCAGATTACCAACCCAGGGAGAGGACAGCTGTCCTCCTTCTTGAAGTTGGGTGCTAGCTAAGTTGAGGAGGTAAACATGCCACTGACAGCATAGCTAGCGGGTGGCTGAAGAAATGGCTAAAACAACATGAATAAACAGGCCCCAGTTCCTTGTGTGCTCCTCAATCTGTTCTACGATGGTGCTGGGGATTTCAGTCGATAAGAGGCTGTTAAGAATTTCAGGGGCCAGAAAAAGGACTTCCCTCTCAGTGCGCACCTATAACTGCAGGACACTGATGAGAGACAATTTGATTAACCATCTAATGGAGGAGACGGCAAGCACAGCCTGCAATATCCTAGGTCTCTGTGAAACACGACAAAAAAAGGAAATGGAAATTAAGTGGAGAGACAAAAGTACCATCATGTTGGGAAAAGGAGAAGGTGTGACAACCGTTGGAGGAACTGGCTTCATCATCAACAAGGAATAGTCTTCAAAAATCATGTCCTGCATGTTCAAGTCATGCACGTCAGAGTGCACCTCCAACTAAACAAGAACAGCACCCTCAAGATTATTCAGAGCTATGCTCCCACAAGCACAAGCAAAGATGACTATGTGGAAGAATTCTATCAGGAGCTTGAGGAAACCTTCTCTCAAAAATCCACATGTACCATTGTGATGGGAGATTTCAATGCCAAAGTTGAAAGAGGGAAAGAAGGTGAAAAGTTCATTGGAAGGTATGGCATCGGCAAACGGAATCCAAAGGAGAGTGATTGGCGACTCTGGCGGAGAAATGAAAAAAAATGCTCATTGATAACACCTGGTTTAAGAAGAAGGCCAAGAGGAGGTGGACATGGATCATTCCCAATGGAAGAACAAGAACGAGACTGACTATATTCTCATCGATAAGTGGCTCATTGCACAAGCCAGCTCAGTAGTACCATCATTTAACACCAGTCTTGACCATCGCTTGCTCAGAGCATGGCTCAACTTCAATGAAAAGGTGGAGAAGAAAGCACTATAGATGGTCTATCAGAAACAGCGGCCAAAAATATTCGATGAGGCAATCTTGAAAGTGAACATTTCCAAGGAAGACTGGAGTCTTATAGATAACTGTGATGAGGATTATAAGAACTTCACTGATAAATTGAGGCAATGCATGAAATTAGCCAAGAAAGAAAGACCAAAAAGAGCGAAGGGAAGAATCTCGGAGGAAACGCAGAACTTGCTAGAGAAGTGGAGGAATATGAAACAAAATGATGGTGGCAAGCTTCAGTACTCTCTCCTCTGCAAGTTGATAAGAGGAAAGCTAAAGGAGGACTTCGAGATGTACCAAAATGAAAGGCTCTTAAAGATAAATGAAGATTACAAAAGCCTCAAAAAATGCAAAAGGGAATTGATTTAAGGGTGCTGAAGAACAGGGATGGAAATGGTCTGCAAATATTTCTACATTGAACTGTTCACATCTCAGAGAAATGTCCCAGTACCAACACTTCAACAGACCAATGAGCATGTACTCCGAGTCTTTGTCAGAGAAGTTTGACATGCAGTTCACCAAATGAAGGAAAGAAAAGCCCCAAGTAAAGATGGATTGACAATCAAAATGATAAGAGCTGGAGACCAAGTCCTCTGAGAAACCCTTGCTCAGAAGTTTACCTGTTACTTGGAAATGCAAAAGATATCATATAGCTGGAAGGAATCCAACACCATTCTACCATACAAGAAGAGTGATCATAAAGATCTAAAGAACTATCATCCAATATGCCTGCTCTCACATGTCTACAAGCTGTTCACCAAAATAATAACAAACCGACTCTCGCAGAGATTGGACGAGTAGCAGCTGAGAGAGCAGGCAGGCTTTTGAAGGAATTTCAGCACAATGGGCCATATTTTCACTATAAACCAGCTACTGGAACGTTCAAGGGAATACAAATTCACTTTATGTATTGCCTTCATCGACTATAAAAAAGCATTAGACAGCATAGAGCTAAATGCAGTGTTGAAAGTTCTTGCAGAGTAGGGCATTGACACAAACTATATCAAACTATTAAAGGAAGCAAATTCTGACTGCACTAAGAAAGGTGTGAAACAAGGAGACACAGTTTCACTGAAACTCTTCACAGCCTGCCTCAAAATGGTAATGAGACAGATGAATTGGAAGGGTGGAATCAACATCAACAGAGAGCAGTTAAACCATCACAGATTCGTGGACGATATTGTGTTGATCACCGAAAATACTATCAAACTACAGAAAATGCTGCGAGAACTCAACACAAAAAGCAGCCAAGTCAGACTGAAAATTAACTGATCCAAAATGAAATTTATGCGGTCTGATATCTTGTCAAAAGCACAAAATAACAATCAAGGGAGAAGAAATAGAAGAAGTTGAGCAATATGTCAATTTGGGCCAAGAAATGAACATGCGCCATGATCAGGAAGGTGAATTCTCATGAAGAAAGAAAGCAGGTTGGTGCGCATTCAATTCTATCCAGGATGTCCTCCAAGGAAAAATCAAAAGGCAACATGCTCCAGCCTCTTCAACTCGACAGTACTACCAGCAAAATTGTACTGCAGCGAAACATGGGTGCTGACGAAGACAGAGAAGCAACAACTGTCTGTCATGGAGAGGGCGATGGAAAGAAGAATTTTTGGAATTTCAATCTGTGACCGAGTCCCCAGTGAAGTGATCAGACTGCAGAGTGGAGTGCAGGACATCATTGTTGAGAGCAGGCATAGTAAAAGGGTAAAGTTCACTGACAATTAATGGACTGCAGCTGTCGCCCGAGTGGCACCCACGGGAACTGAAATGGCCACTCAGCCGACCTCCAGTGAGATGGGAAGATTTTATCATTAAAAGACATGGCCGCACATGGAGAAGGAAGGCCAGGATATGGGAAGAATGGAAGATGTGTTATGATCGGCACAATATATACAAGGGCTGAAGGACCAATCAGTCGAGGAGATCAAGGAAAAGGAAGTATTTCTTCACACAACGCACAGTCAACCTGTGGAACTCCTTGCCAGAGGCTGTTGTGAAGGCCAAGACTATAACAGGGTTAGAAAAAGAACTAGATAAGTTGCCACTGTTGGAAGACAGAATACTGGGCTAGATGATCCTTTGGTCTGACCCAGTATGGCTATTCTTATTTTCTTATGTACAATTAGAATGAAAAATTACTTTAACAAATTAGAGAATTGTTC